ATGTGCCTCCTGTACTGGCGACCCCACTCCCAACAATTGTAAACCGCTTTGAGACTCCGATGTGCAGTGAAAAGGCGGTATATAAATAAAGCTAAAAAAAAAAAAAAAAAAAAAAAAAAAAAGAACATTAAAACAAAAGATAAAAATATAAAATCCCTCAGTTGTATGCACAGCTAAACAGCACCGTTTTTAACTTGGTTTTAAACATTGTCAGAGAGGAGGCCTGTCTCACATCTTCAGGAAGATTGTTCCAGATTTTAGCAGCATGAATCTGAAAAGCAGCCTCCCCATGTTTAGTTCTGACTCTGGGCACTAACAGGAGTCCAGTCCCTGTGCTCCTCAGAGTCCGGGCTGGTTCATATGGGACTAACATGTCACTAATATATTTTGGTGCGAGGCCATGGAGAGACTTGTACACAAGCAGAGCTGTTTTAAAGTCTATTCTCTGAGCCACAGGAAGCCAGTGCAGAGACCTGAGGACCGGACTAATGTGGTCGTACTTCCTGGTTCTAGTCAGGACTCGAGCTGCTGCATTTTGAATGTACTGCAGCTGTTTTACAGCCTGTTTGGACAGACCTGTGAGCAGGCCATTGCAGTAGTCTAACCTACTGGAGACAAATGCATGGATAAGAATCTCCAAGTCTGCTTTAGACACTATGTTTTTGATCCTGGCAATGTTTTTTAGATGGTAAAAAGCTGCTGATGTTACTGATTTGATGTGGCTATTAAAATTTAAGTCTGAGTCCAGTATTATCCCTAGATTTCTGACCTTGTTTGAAGGTTTTAGGGAGAGAGACTGTAGATGACAGATGACGCTCTCTCTTTGTTTCTGGGGTACCAAAGACGATCATTTCAGTTTTGTCTGCGTTTAGCTGAAGGAAGTTGTTTTGCATCCACTCACTGATCTGTTGGATACAGTGAAGGAGTGAGTCCACTGGTCCATGTTCTCCTGCAGTCAGTGAGACATAGATCCGAGTGTCGTCTGCATAGTTGTGATAGGAAACTTCGTTTCTGCGTATTAACTGACCTAACGGCAGCATGTAGAGATTGAACAGAAGAGGTCCCAGGATCGACCCCTGTGGGACTCCACAGGTCAGGGCCATATGATCTGAGACACAGTTTCCAATCTCCACAAAGTACTTCCTGTCTTCAAGGTAAGACCTAAACCAACTTAGGGCGGTGCCAGCGACGCCAACCCAGTCCTCTAGTCTCTGTAAGAGGATCTCATGGTCGACGTGTCAAAGGCAGCACTTAGATCTAACAAGATTAAGATTGAGACTTTGCCTGCGTCAGTGTTCAGCCGGATATCATTTGTAACCTTGACGAGAGCAGTCTCAGTGCTGTGGTGGTGTCTAAAGCCGGACTGAAACATATCAAATGAGTTGTTGATTATAAGAAATCTAGTAAGCTGTAGGTAGACAACTTTTTCAAGGACTTTCCCCATAAATGGCAGATTTGAGATGGGACGATAGTTGTTACGTACCGTAGCATCCAGACTGCTCTTTTTTAGCAGGGGCCTGATGACTGCAGTTTTCAGGGCCTTTGGGAAAATTCCAGAATTAAGGGACATGTTTACTATCTGTGTGAGTGAAGGTAACAGACTACTCAGAACAGACTTTAGAAATCTAGTGGGTAGTACATCCAGGCTGCATGTGGAGGAGCTCAAACTGGAGATTATCTCTTGGACAGTTTGAGCATTTACAGGTGCAAAGTAAGTTAGCTCAAAGAGCCTTTCTGGCTGTTGGATTGTTATCTATTGGAGACAATGGCGTTTTTGATGCCTTGAACCTTGTCATTGAAAAAATGTGCAAACTCATTACATTTACGTTTGGAAGTTAGCTCTAATGGCATTTGAACAGGGGGGTTTGTTAATCTATTAACTGTTGAAAACAGAACACGCAGATTGTTGCTGCAGCCTTCAATCATTTCAGAAAAATACCTTTCTCTCGTACTACGTAGCACCTGGTTAAACTCGCACAACTTATCTTTGAAGATCTTGTAATCAACCTGGAGGTTGGACTTGCGCCACTTCCGCTCGGCCCTCCGGCACTCTCTCTTTTGTGCCCTGACCGAGTCTGCTTTAGCCCACGGCGCCTTCTGCTTATTTTTCACTATTTTAACCTTCACAGGAGCGATGGTGTCCAAAACTTTCAAAACACTAGAGGTGACAGCGTTAAACAGTTCATCTATAGTAGAATACGATGCATTCTCAAAGTTTATCATTCCCATAAATAGTTCACCCGTATTTTCATTTATGTGTCTTCTTCGTACAGTTGCAGAGTCCACTGGTGGTTTGTTAGTGAAACACATGTCAAAAAATATACAAAAATGATCCGAAAGCGCAACATCACCACGTTTACATTAGAAATGTTCACCCCCTTTGTAACTAACAGGTCTAGAGTGTGCCCTCTGCTGTGGGTGGGGCCACTCACATGCTGAGTGATACCAAAAGATTCAAGAACAGAACTCAGCTCTTTAGCATTTCTGTCATCAACATTATCCACATGAATATTAAAATCACCTGTAATAACCAAACTATCAAAATCTGTGCATACAACTGAAAGCAACTCTGTAAAATTATCAATAAAACTGTGACATGACTGCGGTGGCTTGTATAGGACAACGAAAAGTATTGGAGGAGATTGTTTTTGTTGTATTTTAAAAGACACACATTCAAAAGACGGAAACTTCCCAAGAGACATTCTATGGGAGACAAAGTGGTCTCTGAAAATGGCAGCTAAGCCTCCTCCTTTTTTGTTTTCCCGTATTTCAGATTCAAATTTGAAATTTGGTGGTGATGCTTCTATTAAAACTGCATTTTCTGTATTTTGGTCAAGCCATGTTTCAGCCATGAACATAAGATCTAGATTATAAGAACAAATAAAATTATTGATTAAAAAAGACCACTTCTACACCTTCTCCACCGACTCCCACTGATGACTGCTGTCGTTGTGTCCTTGGGCAAGACACTTAACCCCACTTTGCCCAAAGCCCCCACTGAAAGATCAAGGCTATGCTCACACTCAGAGAGCAGCCGTCCTCCTGTGGACTCACCACCTGCAGAGGGTCAGTGAGGGGCTGGTGCTATGAGACTTGGGTGGCATCTCTGACTGCCACCCCCCTGACCCAGAAATGGATTAAAGGGTAGAAAATGGATGGATGGATGGATTAAAAAAGACTTGTTACAAAGAGATCTGACATTAAGCGTAGCAAGTTTCAAAGTTTCAGTATCAGCGGTTGCGGTCGGCTGATTCTTACACGGAACAAGAATTAGATTTTCCTGATTAGACTGATTAACTTCAGATATTTTTCTGTTATGTATTCTTGAATACATAACTAGCTAAAGTTTAGCTAAGCCTTGTGGTGCCTTCGCAGACAGCGGAAAATTTCAAGGTCACTCATACTCCGCAACAGCATTATCATACACCGCAACAGTTAAAGGCATGTTGCGGTAGAGAGATTCACTGTTTCGGTAATGAGAAATTGATATGTTATACCAGGAATTAACACAGATTTTTTAAACACATTTATGAAAAACACTTAAATAACAAAATAATATAGCTTTTAATTATAAAGTATACCTGTAAACCTTCCAGCAGAGGTCATTAGTTTCAGTTGGCTCAGTTGGTAGAGCATTATTAGCCTTTAAGGCTAGAAGTCATGGGTTCAAGCCCACCACAAGACCTACTCCACCAACTCCCACTGATGTCTGCTGTTGTTGTATCCTTGGGCAAGACACTTTATCCCACTTTGCCTGAAGGCCCCTCTGAAAGACTAAGGCTATGCCATAGAGCTGTGCTCTGTGTAATGAGTGACATCTCTGGCCACCGTCCAACCCAGGAATAGATTAAGGGGAAGAAAATGGATGGATTATTTTACAGAATATTATGCCCCCCTGGACTACCACCTTAACGTGGTAAGGGAGTTTTGAGTACTCTGATGATCCTGGGAGCTATGTTGTCTGGGGCTTCATGGTAGGGTCTCCCATGGCAAACAGGTCTCAGCTGATGAGTCAGACAAAGCGCAGTCCAAAACCCACCATGTATAGCATGTTATTGAGAATCGTGACGTCGCCCGGCATGGCGCAGCCGGGGCCCCACCCTGGAGCCAGGCCTGGGGTTGGGGCTTGTATGCGAGAGTCTGGTGGGCCTTAGCCCACGGGGCCCGGCCGGGCTCAGCCCAAAGAGATGACAGGGGCAGGCCCTCCTTTGGACCCACAACCCACAGAGGGATCCGTGGTGGAGAGGTGCTGAGAGGACTGGGCAGCAGTCGAAGGCGGTGACCTCAACGACCCAGTCCACGCACACAGCATATGGTTCTTGGGACGTGGAACGTCACCTCACTGGGGGTCACACACAGCTCGGGCACCGCAATCCAAATCTTCGAGAGGGGTTGGACGCACCGCTTTTCTGGTGTTTCTCGCGGGGAGTGGCGGCGAGCTGGGGTGGCCATTCTCATTGCCCCCCCATCTCAGCTCCACGTGTTGGAGTTCTCCCCGGTTAATGAGAGGGTCGCGTCCCTCCGCCTCCGGGTGGGGGACAAGTCTCTCACTGTTGTGACGGCCTACGGGCCAACAGCAGTGCAGAGTACCCGCCCTTCTTGGAGTCCTTGGGAGGGGTACTGGACGGTGCACCGCCCGGGGACTCCGTTATTCTCCTGGGGGACTTCAACGCCCATGTGGGAAATGCCAGTGACACTTGGGAAGAACGGCCCCCCTGATCTGAACCCGAGCGGTGTTCAGTTGTTGGACTTCTGTGCTACAGTAGGTCCCATTCCGTTTTGTCGTCTTCATTCACGCTTCTCGGGAATCACGCAGCTGCGTGAAAAATAGTACATCTGATCGCCACAAGGTGGCAGGCTAAGTCCGCTTTAGCTCTTCCAGCGACTTAGACCGTCACAAGAGCTACACATCACTGTGTTGACCTAACAGCCAATCAGGTTCAGAGCAGCGGCAGACACTCATCTGTCTTTTGAAAACCGGACCGGAGCGAGGCTGCCCCATGGATCTGGGCTGCCCTCGTCAACAAAATAAGGTAACTATTATAATATAAATAAGTATTAATTCTCATTACAGTGTTGTCTGCTTTGCTATATGAGCCGTGCAGTGATTAACACGATAAAAGAGGTTTGTGGGAGTCACTTGTTCGTTTTTATGTTAGCTTTCTATTGTGGCTAAGGAGCGAGCTTGTTAACGGTCTGTGCTAAACGTAACGTTACTACATTTGATATTAATTGGTGGGCTTGTTTAAATGGATCATACAAGATGCCAGCGTGACTATTCTTTGTTCCTTGTGGGCTGAAACTGGCATTAAAGTGGCGCAATGCGTCGGCTAGCTGGCGCTCATTGGGCTACTAGCCACGCTAGCCTTGACATCGCTCTCGTCTAACTTGTTAGTTAACCCTAACCAGACGAAGTGAGTAGCTGTGGTTAACACTTAACGATGTAATCGATCAAGATATGTGGGGATAACTGATCTGACAGATCATTTATCAATAATTGCGCGAAGTTGACCCCCGCTTTCGTAGCTCTGTTTTTCCAGGTTAGCCACTCGGATGTGGTAGTGCTAACCCAAAGCATCCAATAGATTCATGGTGCGGGCACACAGTTTAGAAATGCTCATAAGAGGACCGTAAATGTGAAATGGCCAATGCTGGCTTTATATGTGATATTTGAGGTGAGTGCGGTGTTCACCCTGTCATGGAAGCAGGAGGCTAGCGTTGAGTTTGAGGGCTGCTGCGGAAGCACGAGTAAACTGAGCCGTTTTATTGCATACAAGATATACTTATGGTATATAATTGTTGCTCGCGTAGTTGATTATTGCTTACATTTTCCACTAGTCTTGTAAATTTTAACGAGCCTTTTTAAAATATTTTAGATAACCCGTGTTTATGAATTTCATGATCTGTAATTTAAATAGCTATAATACATACATTATAATTTAGCATTTGTTTAAAGATGCTTAATTTGGCGGTGTGTGCAGTTTGACAGGTAAGAATATATACATTTTTTTTTATTTTGTTCTTTTTTTCCCTGTCAGATGGAGGAGAATCCCAGATCTCTTGTGACTATTGTGCTGGATGACAAAGAGATTGCCAAAAGAGTTTACCATCTCAACACAATTAAAGAACTGATTGATAAAAGCACAAGCTTTTTAACAGACAAAGCCGACTTTCATTCTGTTCAAATATACAGTGAAGATTTTAAGGAATTTACTGATGCGGATGTCAATGTACTTGTCCAGAACCTTGACAAATACAGAATTTCATTTAAATCATACACTTCGGAATATCAGGTTTGTAATGTTCAACTATTGGTAATATTTTTTATTTCTTATTGTAACCTCAACTTTTATCTGTTTACTGTTTTTCCTTCCTAAGAACCAGCCCTCGGGTTCAACTTCAATTGGAGCCATTGCTTCATCTACAGTTGGACTGTCAGAGGTATGTCATTTGTTTACATGTTTTACATTATATTGTAGTGAATGATGAATCCTGAGTAATTTTAATAGTGTGTCAAAGTACATTCTTTTCACAACTTAAAATGTGAAGTAATATATATTATGGACTTATGGTAAAGTGACTAGTGCCAATTATTTATGCCTTTATTCTAACTTGCATTATTTTGCTTGTAAAAACCACAAATGCAGTCTTTGTCCTGACTCTGGACTTGGTCCTGATATCTTTCTGTAATTATGTTGCAAAGGTAAATTCCTTTTTCGAGATCTCCTTGTCCATTTTCCATTGTCGATTCTCCTCCATCTGACTTTAAAAAAGAAGAAAAAAAAGTTTTTATGTATTGCTTTTTTTCAAATGTTTCAGCATTCACCTGTATTCATGGATTTCATTGTTTTTTGCAGAATGAACCACAGCCAGGCAATGATAGTTTGAGAAAACTGTTGAAGGAAAAAGCCCCAAATCTCCTCTTGGAGTTCGAATCATCAGGCAGTCTTTCCATCACGTCACGAAAACTGCTTGTTAAAGTATCTGTGAGCCATCTCGTGGAACAGAAGGGATTGTAAGTATTTCAAAATACTCGTATCTACACCTGTACACACACTGCAGTCCAAAAGTCTGACTGATGGCTTTCATTTCAACCAAGCAGGGGCACACCAGACCCCCTCCAATTCTCATGTAAGAAGAAAGTCTTGAGGAAATGGGTGGAGTCCGGTGTGGCTCTGCTTGGTTGGAATGAACCTGTAACTAGGCCTATCACGATAACAATTTTGATGGACAATAAATTGGTTCACAAACATAACGCGATACATGATGCCTTTGATTCTAATACAAAAACCAAATAAGCAATTTCTACATTTGTCAATTTCACTAAGTCATGCATTATGAAAGTTAACAAAATTAAGTCATTTGACCTTGAACTGTTGACTTTTTGCATTTGTTTCTTAAAAAGAAACTCTTTTACGCCATGATTATTATAATGCGATTTACATCATTGAATATGTCAGACCTTTTGTTAATGCAGAGTTTTAAGATAAGATTACAGTTATGGTATCTATATTAAAATGTATCATACAGTTAATTATACTTTTGTCTGTTATTTAGCTATCCCTCAAAGGATGACAAAATACTTCTGGCTAGAAGTATAGTAAGTCTTTCCCTCGCTAAAGATAAACTACCAGGAAAAAAAATGAAGGATTTGTGAGTATATTTACACACACGTGTGTGTGTGTATAATATATACACATGTATAACTGTTCTTTTTTTTTATTGTCTAGGAGCATTTCTTTGACCCAGTTTCCCATTGTGGGTTTATTGAAATGAGGCTAAGGAACCTCCGCAGAAGTCTTCACGAAGATCAGCGGCGATACCGGAAAAGAGTTCGTTGTAGTGTACCCGATCCTGATGTCATAGTTACCCTTCACATGGCAGAGCAGGAGGCAGAGGCTACACTGGAGTGGACATCTGCTATTAAAAGGATGAAGCCCATCCCTGAGAACATTGCAACAATCAAAATGGGCATGGATAAAACATTCACAAGTCGGAGGCTTTGGATTTCAACAGAGTCTCCCACAATGCAGGAAATTGTGCTCACTATCCACGCTTTATTGACCTACTGTGCTTGGTAAACATTACATCTTCTTAACCAATAATTGTGTTCTCTAAATGTATCATTGGACATAGTAACAAGAGAATTTGAAATGGAGATGGAAACTGCTCTGAAAAAGTTTAGATTTGAAAGTGTCAATCAATTCTTACAATTTGTCTCTATGAAAACTTAATATAGCAAGGTTGGCTTTATTTGTCTAAATTCTCTTTCTCTGGCTCTTTATCGCCTCAAACACTTTTGTGTTTGTACAATTACATAGTTAAACTATTGTATTATACACTTGCTCATAAGGTCATGGTAGTTTAATTGCTGTTTGTTTGCACATGACGCTTACATGTATTTTTGTTTACAGATTGACATTGAATTTGGGAAGTTGTTCCCTGGGAAGCAAGACAACTTCCTTTGCAAGTGGGAAGCACAATTTGTTCCCAAACTGCTCAAATTGTCAACTATGGAAAAAAAAGGCATGCCTGATTCTGAAGAAACCAGTGGTGAGTTGTTTTGTGGAACAAGAGTACTGCCTTTCTAGGTTTGCAGTTGCTTCTTTGGTGACACTTTGTTGTCCCTTTAACCAGTTATGTTGACAGAAAATTATTTCAGCTAATTTGCTCTCAAATGTTAAACAGGGGAACTAATATAAACAATATATAGTTCTTGTTAAAACCGGCAAAAAATGTGCATTGAAACAAACTGTGTAATATTTTTGCAGAGTCGCGTTCCTTTCAAGCGCTCCAGAGTCTGAGCACCTTTCTTCCTCCAACCGCATCAGGAAGAGGCAAGGGATGGACAAAATGCAGCGTGAAGTCTGCAATGTCCTACATCCTGGATCTCAAGCCGGTAAAGTCAAAACACCTAATCTTTTGGTCTTTATTTGCTTTTTTGACTTGACATTAATTTTAACATATACGGTTTACTAACATCAGTAATTTACGTCTCATTTTTTTTAGTCTTGTTTAAAATGTATGGCTACTGTTGCAAGTAGGGGTGTGACAATGCATTTGAGATGCAAGAATGCTGCTGATTCTAGCGCATTTAATTTATGTGTATTCACTTTTTAACTCAAACAGTTGTTCTGTAGTTACAGGAGTTGCCGTTTAAAAACAAATGGATCTGATTTATAATGAGTGAGCTGTTCTTTGAGAAAAGAACATTATTCTTTAGTGCCTTCACTGGTATCTGTTCATATCAGGAATTGGCAGATATTGAAAGTCAATATATCGTTATTGGACTTTTAAAAGCTGGATTGTGAATCCCTAATTAGCTGTGATCTCTTATGAGAGCCTTATTTTACGTATGGCATTGTGTGAATTGTGGGTCCTGCATTGTTTTGCAAATTGAATTGTGACATTTGAGTATAGTAACTGTTTTCAAACTGTCTATTTTTATTTTTTTATTCTCCAGAGTGGAACAAGCATTTTGAGTCTGACTGCAGACTCTGATTCAGAAGTCCAGCAACCAAAACTCATTTGCCTAGGACATCCCAGGAACCCAGCGGCACAATATTTCATCGTTGCAACTAATGACAAAGTAATCATCCCTCTCCAAGATGAAGGACTGACTTGTGCCCTGGACAAACTCTTCAAACTATTTTGGGTGTGCAACCTGTCATATCCTCCTCAGGTCAAATCAGTATACCAGTTTTTGGAGTATGCTTATGATTTGAATAAGGAATCTGCAAAGCGCTCTAAAGTTTTAGAGCTGATTTCCAAATTGCATGGAATGTAAATTATCAACCAACATGTATACTTGTCCCAAGTGCAAAAGAGCAGTGTCAAAGCACATAAGACAACTCATCAATCATCTCAGACAAGTGCATGCACTAAGTGATGCACAAGATTACACCATTGTGTGCCACCAGGACAATTGTCAAAGAACTTATCACAAATTAAATTCATATGCTAAACATCTAAAGAGAGTTCACTCTCAGATTGTACAACCAGTAACTGGAGTCATCGGCTAACCATGGCATTGTGTTTGAGAAAGCCAGTGAAGAATCTCCCATTAGGATGGACACTTCAGACACAATTTTGGACTCAGTCAGAATGAAACATACTGTTTTATAACATTATCATGTGCTTCAGTCAGAATGACACATACTGTTTTATAACATTATCATGTGCTTCAGTCAGAATGAAACACTGTTTTATAACATTATCATGTGCTTCAGTCAGAATGAAACATACTGTTTTATAACATTATCATGTGCTTCAGTCAGAATGAAACATACTGTTTTATAACATTATCATGTGCTTCAGTCAGAATGACACATACTGTTTTATAACATTATCATGTGCTTCAGTCAGAATGAAACATACTGTTTTATAACATTATCATGTGCTTCAGTCAGAATGAAACATACTGTTTTATAACATTATCATGTGCTTCTTCAGTCAGAATGAAACATACTGTTTTATAACATTATCATGTGCTTCAGTCAGAATGAAACATACTGTTTTATAACATTATCATGTGCTTCAGTCAGAATGAAACATACTGTGTTAAAAATGTTATTACAAAATATATACAGTATATTAATTCTCAGGGTTCACAGTCTGGAAGTCACTCATTCGCAGCCCTTCCTCCCCCAGACGAATAAACAAAGCCCACCCTAGCCCCCTGTTGTTTCGGTCATCACCTCATTTGACATGCAAATGTTAGCAACCCAAGTAGCAGATTAGCTCCTCTTCTCTAAACTAGCCCCAAATTTGGCTGGGCGTTCTAGTGTTAAGATGTGCGAGGCGAGCCTGGCCTGACTGCGCTCTCCTCCTCCTAAAAAAAGATTAGAACGCAACATTTAGTTAATAATGTGTGTATAAAAAAAAAAAAATATTGAAATTATGACTTTAAACAAAAAGTAGTCTTCTTTTCTCTAGATGTTACAGACAAGGCCCGCATCCTCCACCACCTGAAGAAGATGACAAAGTCTGGGATCGCGTCTTAAATTCAGACAGAAGACATGTTTTATTGTCGATGGTAGAGACAGCACGAACAACAGATACAACAGAATGCAAGTGTATTATACAGAGCGGAGGCATGGAGACCTCCAATCACCACAGTGCCATGTAGCTTGGCCTTCAGATAGACAAAACAAGGCAAAAGTACAGGCTTCTGCACATTGATAGAATGATGAGTTTAACTTTAACAAAAGTTGTTTAAAAGTGTTATGAAATCTCACATTCCCCCCTCTGGTCACACATTCACGTGTGACCATCAGGATCGATAAACAGCAATATAACATCATAACTCAATACTTTAAAAACTCAAACTCTGTACTTCACTCGGAATACTTCAAAAACTCATAAAACTCATAAAACATGTTCAGATCTTTCATAAAACTTGTCAACAATCTTCAGTAAAATACCAAACTTCATCAGTCGATGTGGTTCCAGATATTGCTTTGAAAACAGTCTCTCCCACTTCTCTGTGTTGATTCTTTCAGGCTGCATTTGTGTTGAGCCATGAATTCTTCTGTGACGTGTCTTTCAATCACACGTTTCAGCTTCAGTGTCCAGATTCAGCAATTCAATTCAGTCCAAATTATGTCCAAATTGTGTAATCCAATTGTTCCAAATGATGTCCATGCAAAAGAGGATCTCCCCCGTCTCTCCCCCGTCTCTCCCCCATGCCTCTCCCACGTATCTCCCAAGTCTCCACACGAAGCGCAGCCAAAACTCACTGAATAAAGCTCAGCTCGGCTTCCTCCGCTATATCGAAATAAGTGTTTCCATTATATATTGTATATTTAACAATAAAATGTGACAATAAAAGAAAAATGGCAGCTGCCTAATATTGATAATAACAATAGTAAATGGGTAGATACAATGAATAATTAAAAATAGTAAATGATAAAAATAAATACAAATAGAATGTGTCTAAAAACATAAATAGATGTACTAAAAAGCAATAATAAATAATAAATACTAATCAAAAGCTACTCTACTCTTGTTATATTTATGTATTTATTATAAATGTTAGAGATGCCAGAGAAAAGGCGTCTGCTTTTTTTCTGAGTGGGAGGAGACACCAGCGGAGCTGTTTGAGTCAAATAACGTTCAGCGTTATATTACCAATAGTTTCTCTTTCCATAACGATATTCTCTCTTTTTGGAAAGATCACCAACGTGATGCAAAAGTTTACGTTATATGCAGTAGTTTTAATGTCTGCGGGTTATTCCAGAGACTGGCCTGCTACAAGGAGTTGCCCGTTTTAACCAGATTGTCGATGTGCGCGGGGCAGAAACTCGCCAATGTAACCCTGCTCACAAGTGCCACCTGGTGGTTGTTTTGGTCATTGCAACGTCACTGGGAGGGGGGAAAATAAAAGACGCGTGAATCACACGTGAGTCTCGTGTGATTCACGCGTCAGAAAGTCACACGTTCTGTGTGATTTTCTGACCACAAGAGCTAGGAAGAAGCTTCTGCAGATAGAAGTGAAACATCCTCACCCAATCAACTCAGTCCAGTCGACAATTCAAACCATATGATTTCCTGGACGACAATTCACAAACTATTGCTCAGCTTCTTCAGACATGTGATACATGCGAAAACAGTTCCTGTCCAGCTGCAGGCAAAGCCCAACATCGCAGTCCTCACACTTCCAGGGAGTGCTGCGCTTACAGAGCACACACTGACCTCGACCCATGCTGGCTCTTTGATTTTTGGACTGTGTTGAGCTGGTGGGGACAGCAAAGTGGTTGGTCAAGACCAGGGGCTTTCGTGGCTGTGTCTTGCGGGGGACTCCAATTAGACTTGCTGCAAGCTCCTCCTGAAAGTCCTGTCGGGTGGGCAGTCTCTCACTGCGGGTTTTTGACAGCTCCTTGGCAATGATGAAACTGTTGGTCACAGCAATGTCCAACAGGTGCTGGAACACGGTAATATACCACCGCCGAGTTTTTCTGTGGACAGAGTTCGTGCCCAGCATCTGATCGGATGTGTCTACACCGCCCATGTAGCTGTTGTATTCTCCCACTGCGATCGGCCAGCTGCCCAAGATGACGAAAGAGCAAAGGGCTTGTATAAAAATTGTCACAATAGACAATGTAACCACTGCCCAGATAGGCTTTGTTGACCAATGAGGCCACAACATCAAAAGACAGTCCCTTTCCACTGCCTGCAGACTTTCCTGTGTAGAGCTGGAAGTCCAATGTGTACCCATTGGAGTCTGCCAAGACAAACCACTTTAGTCCCCACTTTGTCGGCTTGTCCCTCATATATTGTTTGAATGACAATCGTGCTTTGGTGGCCACCATTCTTTCGTCGACAGCAATGTGCCGGTCCGGATGGTAGACCGCCATGCAGCGGGTCCGAATCATGTTGAGGAGAGGTCTGACACGGTGTAGAGGGTCAAATTCCTCAGTTCCTCTGGCCAGTTCATTGCTCGCATCTTCTCCTGGGTCGCTGATGTGCAAGTTGGACAAAATGGCCTTGAACCTGTCTCTGGGCATGACGGTAGAGGGAAAAGGAACATCGTAAATGCTGTGTTTTCGCCACAGGTCTGTCAGCTTTGGTAAGTTTACGACACCCATGTAGAGAAGAACGCCAATAAATTTCTTCATCTCCTCAGTGTTGATGTCCGTCCACTTATATTTCTTTCCTCGAGTCTTGTTGCGAGCAGCATTCAGATTAGTGTTTCTGCACAGTAGCCTCAAAACCTCAATATCAAAAAAATTTGAAAAAATATTGAGGGGTGTGGGTGACCCAGTGTTTAGAGGAGCCTGAACGCCAGGCCTTCGCCTCGGGGTGAACTTGAAGTTCGGCGGTGGAACATCGGGCTCTTCCACACTCCTCCACCTTCTGGAAGCTGGACTGTTTGGCGACCGGTTTCGGGCAGTGGCACCCTCTGATCCCCGTCCCCTAAACCTGGGGCGGCCACGAAGCTGGCCTTCTGTTGACCCCATTCCAGGACTCCTAATAAAAAATAAATAATAATAAAAATAAACATTACATGTTTTACAATAGCAATAAAAATTTGTCTGCACTTGTAAAAATACATAAAAAGCAGAGACAGGTGCAGTTGTGATCTTATTTTGATTCAAATATACTCACTCAGAGTGAGGTGATGCTGGCAGGCTGGCTTCTCCCCCACTAAGAGCCCCACTCTCCTCAACGCCCTCGATCACAGCGTCACCCTGCTCTATCAGTCGTCGCTGTGGTTTGGGCACTCTTGCAGACCTCCTGACATCAGACGACTGCTCCCGCTGCCTTCCACTGGACGCTGAACTGTAGGGCACCCTACTCCCACAAGTGCCATTTCCAGACATGTGGCCACTAAACCTGGAGTGGCAGTGTGGCAGGCCACTAGATGAGCCCTCTTCAGAACTCCTACAGTTACAAAAAAATTAAAAATGAACATTACTCATGTTACAATTGAAATAACAATATTGGCAAAAGTGTAGGAATATCACAGACAAAAAAAGTATATCTCACTGCAAGTTTCACTGTAGAAGTAAATAAATAAAAAGAAAAGGACAGTATAAGTGCAGATGTACTCTTATTTAGGAAAGAAAGACCATTTCTAAGTCCACTATTATATTATTTGCACATGAACAAGCTAATAGTGATTACTTTTATTTTCAATGGTAATACTGTCAACAGCATTGTCAAAACTAAATGTATTTACTCCATGGGACATGAATTTCCAAAGCTACAAACATATTTCACTAGTATCAGCAGGAGACTATCTCCGAAAAGAGGGTTTTGCTACTAACTATGCAAATGTAAAGGTTTCTGATTCTGTATAAATATAGTACACCGCGCTTCTCAAAACTAGAAATTGTCAGCGCGCTCAGACAGACAGCGTGCTGCAAACGCGTACTTTTCCCCCGCCCTCTCATAATATAACTGTATTTTACAAATATTACTAACCCATGCAAGCATAATTTACACACGAACGGTAATCTTTACTATGAACAATGGATAATGTTTTGATAGTACTTACTGGGAAGGCAACGGTGGCGGATCCCTGCCAGGTGCTGCTTCTAAAACTTTCTCCGTCGCGCTGCCCTCCACCACAAAGCCTTCTGCCAGCCATCGCGGTGTTTTGTGTACCCGCACGGATTGCCTTGACATGATCCCAAGGGTCGTAAATCTTCCACTAACTACAAATATGCTGCTAAAATTCCAAACTGATATCGCTCTTCTTCTCCTTCGCATCTGTCGTCAAGCAACGCCTTCCCGCTGTGTGCTGCTATGGGGGTGGCGGGGCAAGCGAATTCTTACGCGTGATTGGTTGGCTAGCTTGCATCATTCAAACACATTACCGTAATGCTGAGAGTGTTATTTAGAAAGGCCCATGGCTCTGCTTAAAGGCACAGGTGGATTTTTTTCGAAAGTGCAATTAGTTGAGGAGTTACGGGAGGTCAAATCGCGCATGCGCAAATCTGTCGGCGCCGACAGCAGCAGACGCCAAAGGGTTAATGCAGTTTAGAATTTAAAAAAAAAGGTGTTTTCAGGGCTTATTTGTCATAGCCTGGCTATGCCAGACCCTTGTAGTTCCGCCATGCTCCACCAGAGGCGTTTGGCTGAACCACATGGGTCTGGTATCGACGCCATAGCGAACGCATTCCCCAGATTATTTTTTAATCGACCAATCAGGATTGCCGGTGTAACGTGGGGTTTGCACTGCCTTCTCAAGCTTCTCTCATGCAGCAGCGAGAGGAATCCAAGATGGCGGACGTAAAGTCCACGAATCTTTTTAAAAGAGTAAATACGATCGAATTAAGACACGGATGTCACTTTTAATGCAATTAGAGGCGAGATGTAGATGGTTCTATGTTGATATATGTGTGTTTTAACCCTTTAAGCGCCAGGTTTTTTTCCAAAACGCTCAATTTTGACATCTTAATTTCAAAAGGCTATAACTTAAAAGTGATAAGAGATAAAGGCTTTCTGTAAATTAGAAAAATATAAAGGATGGTCCAAAGTTTATGTAGAGAATAAATCCCCCCATCTAATTTGCATATTATGACGTCATTTGGCGTTAGAAATAGTGGATTTTAGAATTTTCATACAATATTTGTATTTTTCTAACTGACAGACATATATTTATCACTAGAACATGAACACACACAGAGCACACACTGTAACATTGTAAATGTTCATGAAAATAGTAAAAAAATATAAATCATGATGCTGCTGTGAGCAGCCTGCCCAGACGCGCGCGTCACCGCGACCCTGCTGCTGCAGCTGTCTCCCCCACTCTCTCTCTCTCTCATCTCCCCTGATCTCTCTCTCGTCTAACACACACAAGACAAAGCTTCTCCAACACATTACTGTCCCGGTGATTACGGGAGGCTTGAAAATAAATATGTGGGAAGCACTTTTAGCGGAGACTTTGGCGGAAACTTCAGCGGAGGCTGGAGGTCGCGGCGCGGCGCCCCGACCCGAGTTCCAGGCTTGTTTTCCGCAAATCTAACCTGTCTCCGAACCTCCCAATGACTTGGCCTTACTCTGAGAAAAACTGTTCCCACTGCAGACCCTGTGCAAAGTGTCTAAAGTTAGTGTTTGGTGCGGTACAACACTTGCAGGCTGCCCCGCAGCTGCATTCGCTTAGCTATGATTTCTGCACTGGTTCAACGCGGTCTTGCTCGAATATTTTGTATGGGAGCATGACGTTTTTTGGGGCCAGGGAGGTAGTCTGACATGTCTGCCAACTAGTGGCAGGGAGTATGAATGAATTTTGACACTCAGTTGGTCACACTCGGCCGTTTTTAACAGTACCGCAGCTTGTCGACTTAAGTCGACCGTGGCGCCTAGAGGGTTAAGAGTCAAATGTTCATGTAAAGTTTGGTTGAAGCACTGGTTCAGTGTTCCTGTTTACACACTATGCAGCAGGGTTGCCAGGTTCGGTGGTTCCCGCATATTTTTTTCCAAGAGACTTGTAGGTATTAAATAAACAGAAAGACAATAAACAGAATCATGATAGCCCAAGTTGCATTAAGTTTTTAGCCAAAAAATCATTCTGAGTGTTTTTTTTTGTGGGTATTCTCGCGGATTTTGGGTTTTGGGTAATTTACTGGTATTGTTATTTAAGTTTTATAATTCGTATATTTTTAAAATCGAGGCTTTTATTTTGCGTGTCGCCACTTCCTGTGGTTCGCGGGCTTCCCCTTCAGAGTGCTTGGGAAGAAAGCAAGGGGAAGGTAAGCAGTAAAATCTCTCTTGATTCAAGTTATAAAAATTTCACTATAAAGTTGATTTATGGTCAATTTTTTTGTTGTCATATTATAAGCCTTGCCAATGTTTATGTTTAATGTAAATGTGTGAAAGTGTTTTTTTTATCGAGTTATAGCACTTAGAAAAAGCCAGTTGTATTTCAGCTAGCGAGACATGGTCTCACTGTTGTCTGTGCACATTTTCTGTTTGCAGATCTGTGTCTGGGACTGCCGTGTGCTATACAGCAATTTTGGATTTTTTGTGTTTCACACAGGTATGTTTTTGTATTTTCTATCACAAGTGTCTTTGTACATGATTTATTTTTTGTTTCATAAAAATGATCATTAGAGTTTACTGGTTAAAAAAAAACTATAATGATTGACACTTTAAGAGATATCATTATTATACTGCAAATTAGTAGCCCGAGTTGCTGAAGAAAGCAGAGGGGAGATTTCTGTGTCAGGGACTGCCGTGTGCTATACAGCATTTTTGATTTTGTGTTTCTCATTTTTTGGTTTGGATTCTTGACGCATCTACATACACAATACAACAACGCGGAGAGACCGCTACAAATGCACACAAAGAATTGGTCCGGACCAAAGAACTGAACAGAGTTCCACAACGAATTCTGTGTCCGTTGTTGTAATTCAGGATCTGTAATACAACAGGTGTCGATCCAACACAACTCCAAGAACGTGCTCATTTTTTTTGGGCTAACAAGGCCACGATTGAGTAGTGAATTGTGTTCTTTGCTTCATACCTGATCCTGCGTCGTCTGTTCATCCCGTTGTTATCATAGATCCATGGTTTATCCACAATGCTGCTGTCAGTAAGTTGTGGAAAAGAGTTTTTATTATAGATCCATGGACAGGGCTTTTTACAGCACGCATTCGCTGACACACTTCCAAAATGTGAAATAACGCGTTTCGCCTTTTCGAATGAGCTGCTGTTGATGTTGAAGGTGGTTTTGCTCTAAAAAAAGCAAATAGAGGCAGAGCAGACAAGCAGCACATGCGAGCTCAATGTTTTCCTCCGGTTCCACATCTAATGTCCGTGAGCTCTCGCTGTCCAATAGCTCCAATTACAGTACAGTCACGGTGTGTGTTTGTGTGTGTGCGTGTGTGTGTGTGTGTGCGTGCGTGTGTGTGTGTGTGTGCGTGCATGTGCATGTGTGTGTGTGCGTGTGTGTGTGTGTGTGCGTGTGTGTGATTGAGAAACGAGACGATTCATCTCAAGGGACTTATCCTCTAATTAAATATATAAATACTTTGTCCCAAAATACATTTGGCCAAATGCTTTTGAATGTTATCTTTGTCTATCTTTAGCTCTCACGTACGGTCTGTGCAGAGTTCACACCCAAAAAAACAACACAAACAAATAAATAACAATGCTGCTGCCATTCCTTCCAGCTGATCAGCCTCTGAGTCACTGAAGCGATAAGATGTGCAGAGATAATAGAACACAAAACCTGTGTTAAGTTAGAGCAGCTCCCTGTGACTCTGAACTAGGGCTGGGGCTTAAGCTCAAAAACAATATTTAAATTTCGTAGTTTTATTATTATTTACATTTGAATATATATTAGGACCAATAAATGGTTGTAATAACCCTGAGCGTATAAAACAGAAAACACTTTTTCCACTGGCCACACGTGCAGCAACCAATCAGAGAGCCGCAAAGTGGTCACGGGGACATTAGCGGACTGAGCAAGCAGACTGAAAATACTCATAAACAGCCAAAACAGGACCCACACCAGGCTTCACCAGAACTCAAACCAGGGTTGACAATGGGGGACTCTGTGCTTGTGAATATATACTTTGTCATGCTCCCGTGACCTTATGCAACTGCTTCGAGTGTGTTCGCCGATGCGGAAATTCCGTTTAATAATATAAAAAACGTATGGCGCACCTCCGTGAACACATTCTGCTGTTATATAAAGCCCGTGGAATGTCTGTGAGCAAAGACACGCTGCAAAGCTGCATATTGGAGAAGATCTGTACACAAGAAGCCGCTAGCATAGCTCTGTTAGCATCAGAGCCGGCCGGCTACTTCCGGCACTTCCGGCTCGCGTCAGGACATCTCGGTCTGAAGACCCCTGCGTCTGAAAACTAGAGAATGTGCGTCTGGTGAGCGGGGCTTCAGCGTTTCAGCGTTGGCGGTGTGAAAGCACCTTTAGAGTGAGAGTGATCTTTCTCGTTCATTGACAAGGTATGAGGAAGTGATTGACAGGAGCGAGAAACCAAAACATGGAATCAGCACGCACAGCCTTTCCCAGCGTATGGTACGCGTCTAACACAGTCAGTGTTTGCTTCTCTGCGGTTTTTCTGCTTCTGTCAGTGACTAAAAGTGTTAGCATCATGTCAACTTGGAGAAAATGTGATGTTTCACAGTGAAAGGAGCAGAGATCCAAGCAAGTTTTGAGTGTTTTATGGTGCATCACCCAAATTATTATCACACACCTGCATAGGATGGACTGTGAAGAATTAAGAAATAATAAATAAATCAAGTTTTCTGTAAACAAATCATTTTATTTACTGTACAGTTTACACAGTCATGGCGTGAACTTTATTTTTATCTAATCCTCCATAATCAGGTAATTATTATTACTATTATTCTTATGTACCTAATTGTATGTTTATTATTAGTAAGAGGACAGTGCCCTGAGGGACCCCAGTGCTGCAGACGACCACCTCAGACTCATAGCTGCGCAGCCGCACGTACTGTGGTCGGTCTGAGAGGTAGTTGATGGTCCATGCATGAGATTACTGTCCACTCCCGCGTCCTCCATCTTCCCCCGCTGCAGTGCCGGTCTGATAGTTTCGAAAGCGCTGGAGAAGTCAAAAAACATGACCCTTGGAGCGCTCCCGACGGGCTCCAGGTGGGAGAGCGTCCGCTGCAGTAAGTAGATGACAGTGTCC